GGCATTGTATGGAAAGCAAAGGAGAGCTTTCAGTTTCTCCTTCCTGCCTGATGCTCAGCTGGGGCCTTCAGGCCTGCTGTTCGCTAACAAAGTGTGAAAACAGGAGAAGGGAACTTGGCAAGAGCATCTGGAGATGGGCGTGGCGACGGAGCTTTCAGATGAAGATCAACCCACTGAGAAAAATCTCCGCTGCACCCGTGGGTACAAAGTGAACAAGAGTACCAGAACTCCTCTGGGCTGTTCACATTCACAGCCAGATTCTGCCCCCGGATAAAGCCCTCACACCCGTCCTGGACCGAATGCGTCAACTCGACACAAGCTGGAGTTATCCGGGAGAAGGAACCTCACCCGAGAAAATGGGAGTCTGTGGGGGCTGCTTCCTCGATTAGTGATTGACAGGGGAAGGCTCAGCCACTGTAGGCAGTGCCATCCTGGCCAACTGGTCCAGGGAGGCTTAATAAACGTAGCAGGATGTGAGTTCTGGAAGCAAGCCAGTGAGCAGCGTCCCTCCACAGTCTCTTTCTGGGCTCCTGCCTCCCGGTCCTTCCTGGAGTTCCTGTCCTGATGGACTGAAAGCTGTAAGGTGAAATGAACCCTTTTTTATATGTATGGGTATTTTATCTGCATGTATGTATATGTACCTCATGCATGTCTAGTTTCCTCAGCATTCAGAAGAGGGTGTTGGATCCCCTGGGATTAGGATCGTGGATGATTGTGAGTCATCAGGTGGGTGCTAGGAATTGAACCCAGGTCCTCTGCAAAAACAGCAAGTGCTCTGAACCATTCTGAATGTTTTTTCCTTGAGACTACAATTTGGGCTTGGTGCCACTTTGGACTCTAACCCTCAAGCACTTGTCTGGCTCTAGCGGAATGAAATAGTTAAGTGAGTAGGTGGAGCAAAAAACAAACAAACAAAAAAAAAAAACAAAAAACCCAGGCCATCATCTGCTTCTGAAAGTAAATCTCTGGCTGCCTCTTGCCTGCCACTGTGGTGGATCCACATAAACCCCAGCGTAAACAACCGCTTATGTCTGGATCCAGCCAGCCGACTCGGTGAATCTCGCATTCAGACATCACAGCCTGGTGGTTTCGGGGAGGCCCTGGACAGAAGACAGAACCCAAGCCTCGCCCTTTTGGCCCCTACTCCTCACATTCCATGGAAATTAATGCCTCTTGAACTATGAAGGGGAATGAGCTCCTGACACATCCGCAGGACCAGAGAGTTAAAGCTTTCCACATACTTTTCCAAGATAAGTGGAGGGCGCAACCGCTGAGGGCCAGGAGTCACGTGACAGTAGGCCAATCATGAGCTGTGTGAGCATCTCTGTTGGCCTCCTTACGAAACACTGGCAATTACAGTATTTTCCTCACAGGGTTTCAGTGGAGATTAACCAGGTTAGAACATGGGAAGCTCTTAAGGCCCCTCCTGGAAGACTTCGCCATAAAAGTTGGATTTTTGTCTTTGTAAATTGAAGCCAACAAAATAAAAATAAAAACACCGTCACTCAAGAAAGCATAGTCAACTCTCAATCAACATCCAGGACTTCCCACACACCAAAGTTGGCAGAAGCTCAAAAACAAAACAAACAAACAAACAAACAAAAAACGAACTCAGACTGCTCATACCAGTGTACATCCTGGATTCCTGGATCACCCTTTAAACTATCTCCAGACTGCTTATAATCTATGAAGACTCTACAGAAAGTTATCATACGGCATCATCTGGAGCATGGTGTCAACAACAAACATCTACGTTCTGAATACAGATAGAAACTTTTTTTCTAAATATCTCATTCCACAGGCAACTGTGCCCAAACTAAGTTCAAGGCTGAGAATTAGCCAAGAATTCCGGGGCAAAATAAAGCAGAATCCACGGACTACACAGGAAGCCATCCAAGTTTACCTGCCTTCACCGAACTCTCTGCTCCCGGGCCCACACCCAGAAGGGTCGTGCACCTTCTGCTCAAATCAAACAGTATTCTTCTCTGTTGTAGCCGAAGCTGTTTTCCCAGGAAGGGCTAAGGCCTCTGTAGGTGTCTGGGACATCTCTATCATCAAATGACAGAAAGATTCCATACCTGGGAGCCTTCGATGAAGCTTCACTGCATCAGAGGTAAGTAAGAGCCTAAGAACTTGCTTAAAGAAGAAACAAAATTACCTGTCCAGAAATGAGAACTGGACTGTGTCACTCTCCCTGCAGGAAAATTGATTGATAGAAGATAATGGAAAGTGCTTTAAAGTTCAGAGAACAAATTCTTTTAAAGCTGGAATTACATGCCCATCTAAATTACATTTTTCTTTTAAGTTCAAAAGGTATTTTCAGACATGCAAGTAGTTAGAGCCTTTCGCTTTCCCTGTATACTTTCTGAAGAAAAATTTTTCAAACGGCTATTTGGACTGTTCTGGGTAAAAATGGAAAGGCAATCCAAGACAAAGAACATCATGACAGCCAAAAGAAAGTGGACTTGACCTTGAAGTCTGTGAAAAATAATTACTGGGTGAGAGTTGTAGGGCTTGGGAAGCCAACGGTACAGATGGAGACAGAGGTACTGAAGTCAGCCCTCTAGCACAATACCTGTGCAGGAAATGCACATAGGAAGAAACTGCCCAGTGACAAGAGCACATTACAAGTCTGCCCACTGTAAAAGTTATGTTAATTAGACTCTCCAAACACATTCTTAAACCTGAAGGGATGTTTAAAAAAAAAAAGCAATACACAGCAAGCTATGGGACTGTGTGGTACTTGACACACTTAAGAAAAGAATCAATTTGACCTTGACACTTGAGATACTCTCCTGCCAGTAGTCCAGCTCTTATTAATGGAGGTGCATGGCTCCTTTTTATAGGTCCAATCATGGTATGTCTTTCCTTAATTAATTGTAGTCACATTGTTGTAATAATGTGAAGGGAGTTTCTTTTACTTAAAAGTAGTTTAATCAGCCTGTTAGCGAAGTGTAGACTAATCAGTCATTGAGAATATGTCCCAACATAAAAAAATAACGAGAAGGTAGCTGTATAGAAGATGCATAAAGAAGAGAGATGAAGAAAGCCTAGAGGCACAAATTTCTGCTTTTAAGTGATTAGGAATTCTTATTTCTGAAGTTGGCAGGTCAAGGGGTCAATATTATTAGTTAAGGATATATAGCTAGCATCTCGGTGTTCTGGTTTAAATGGTTGAAGGTACAAGTCTGTGCACCTCATGACCACTTGACTAGAAAATGTCAGGCAGTAAAGGCCTGTGACGAAATATTATGACATAATGTTTTTATTAACAAAACCTGAGCTTCGATAGAAGTCTGGCGTTGGTGTCAAGAGTCCTCGCTGCAAGATAGAACCATATCCCCGCTGTTTCTACCGCCTTCCCCAAACAGACCGGAAGGGCATCACCCATGTAGACCCCAAACAGACCGGAAGGGCATCACCCATGTAGACCCCAAACAGACCGGAAGGGCATCACCCATGTAGACCCCAAACAGACCGGAAGGGCATCACCCATGTAGATGGTCTTTAAATCCCAAGAACTTAGGAAGACTGTAAAGTTCACCCCACTTCACAGGTGCAGAAACTGAGGTCATGTGACAGTAAGAGCTAAACCAATGAATGGTGACTAATATAAAGAGATAATTTTTTTTTAAGAGAGATGGTCTAGGAACAAAGTTGTTATGTCTGTCTGTTATACTGATAAATGCCATCAAACATGACCAACAGATAAGCATTCCAAACTGCATCTGAGCAGGGAAAGGATTGCAGGACAGATAGCCAATCCCAATTTGTATATTCTCATTTTGTTGTTTATGTGAAGTAGTCAGTGTTCTGTGACAGGAGATTCATTCACGAGATTACTTTATCTGCTAGTGTACTGTCAGCCAGGCTTTAAAATTCTTACGTGTGTTTTCCTGTCACCTTGGTTTCTGTTTTTGTTTTCCAAACAGGTGAAGCAGTATCAGCTTTTCATCACGACGATGAAATACTTAAGGTAGCCAGGTACATAAAGGGGGGGGGCGCGTGGTGGTGGCGCACGCCTTTAATCCCAGCACTCGGGAGTCAGAGGCAGGCGGATCTCTGTGAGCTCGAGGCCAGGCTGGTCTACAAGAGCTAGTTCCAGGACAGCCTCCAAAGCCACAGAGAAACTCTGTCTCTAAAAAAAGAGAGGTTACTCAGCTTTCGTTGATGCTAGAAATGCATACACAAAGTCCAGGATCTACAAGGACCCTGTGGTAGTTCATAGGAGGCTGTGGGAGACAGGAAGCAGGGGTGGGCCAGCGTGTTCCCTTTAAAGGCAGCCCCTTGTCAAGAACCCCTTTAAATCCCTTTGGGGAACAGAGTCCCCCAGTGACCCCAAGGAACTTCTATAAAGCTTATCTACTAGATGGTCCATCACGTCTCAACACGACCACCCTGGGACCCAACCTCCTTTAGCAGACGCACAACCCACCAGCATAACAGTAAGGACTGCAGTAAGTACTCAGTAAAATAACTTGGCTTACTACGTCCTGTTTCTTTGAAAATAAAATTATGCTTGAAGTATTATAATTGCAGAGTGCCTAATTACTGTTTATCCAGATTTACTATTTCAGTACGCATGCCCGCTGTCTCTCATACATACATAAATATAATAAAATTGAAACATACACTTTTTTTTAAAACCGTATGAGAGTGGATTCCACACATCACGCCGCTTTATCCCTTAGTATTCTAAGTTATGTTTTCTATGACAAGATTTATTTCTTAAAGAGAACCACAGGGTAATTTTCAAATTCAGGGCATTTTACACTGGCACAACACTTTAAAAGTATTAAGAGAGTTTTCCCAATTATTACCAAAATATCTTTCATAGAATTCTTCCCCAGTTCAAGACAATGCCTGGTAACACTGATCCCATGTTGCTATTTTGTTTTCTGGGCCTCATTTAGTTTGCAGCAGGTGTTCAGCCTTCCTTTGGTTTCATGCCATTGGCATTTCTGGTGGAAGAAAGCCCGTTATCCGTAGCATATATCTATTTAACACTGGGTTTCTCTGTTGTTTCCTTGTAGTTAAATGAAGGTGATTCACTTTTGGTTGGGTCACAGTGTGTGTGATGTGGCTGAGAGGCACTTGATCACCCCTCGCTGATGGCAAAGTTGTGCGGGACGCTGCCCTGTGCCGGTACTGTATACTTCTTTATCATCCGTATTACCGAGTGATTCGTAGAGAGACCATTTGAGGTTCTGCACATATCTTATTTCTCACTTAAATTCTCTTTGCTGAGTTGTGTGTTGATCTGTCTGGCTATGTTCAACTTTACTCTAACGATTGCAAAACGGTACGTTTGTAACCCTGGTTTTCCTATCTGCTGTGTCTTTCCACTGGCCGGCATTTTCCCGTAAAAAACAAAATTGCTTTCTTACTTATTTAGCTATAAGTCAGCTTAGCTATATGAATTCTTGTGGGTTTTTTAAAATTATAATCCTTTCATCTCTCTCACTCTCCAGATAAAATTGCCCCCAGGTTTGGCTAATGAGAATGCATTTAAGCTGGCCTCTTTCTTCTTTTGACACAATCCTTGTCACTGTTTGTATACTCTCTTACTTCCTGACCAAACACACCCATGCACACACACACACAGACACACGTTTCCACACACACACACACCCAATTCAGCATAGCTTCCTTACCCCAGCTAAAGTCCCAGACCCTGATACAAGCTGACCAGTTTCTGAAACTGACATCACAGAGCTTGCTTGTGTCCTTCTGAAGTGCAACCTGGGGTTTCACAGTGGAGACACACTGTGCCTGTTTTTCACATAAACAGGGTTACTGGGAATCTGAAACATGATTTCTACACCATCAATATGTACCATATTGTAAATACGTGTTCAAATGATCACATGCAATTAGTCTGTAAGATAAATCAGTTTAAAACGTCATGTTTTAAGTTACCATCGTGGCCATCTGCTTCACAGTGCAGATGGAGATATTGACAAACCATGCCTTGGGAGAGCCCTGGGAGACTCGAGATGACTCAGCTGGAAAATAGTCTAGAATATAGGTGCAAATTGTTATTTTAAATACACAGTCTGAAGGGATGGCTGCTAAGAGTGTTTACTACTTTTGCAGCAGACCTTGGTTGGGTTCCCAGCATCCTGAGCAGGTGGCTCACAATCACTTATAACTCCCAACTGCAGCAGATCTGAGTCTTTGGACCTCAGTGGGCACCCACACTCACATGCAGATACCTCAACACACACTCACACAATTAAAAATAAAATAGATGTTACATTTACAACATGAAAGCAACAAAATTCACGACTTTTAGAGTATGTCATACTGCAGAAGCTAAAATTGTATCAGGTGAATTAAAGAGATTCAAAGATGTTTTTACTCACGGCAGCTCGAGATTAAAGCGTGTATAAAGGGAGAAGGGCTGGGAGGGTTAGATACATCCTTTGCAATCAAGAATTCACAGCAGCTGGGAGTACCTGTGCTGAATCTGCACAAGGACATGTCTTTAACAGCAGGTATGGATGCTGGAGGGGCTCAGGGGGGCTACCATTCACTGCTGAACTATTTACTATTGATGAACTCAGGAAACCCAGGAGGCTCCAATACAATGATGAAGATGGCCCAGGTTAAACTAAATGGGTCACAAAGCACAACCCAAAGTCATGATTCTGTGAAAGAATATGGGTGAGACAGAATAGAGGGGGATGGGAAGGAGAAGAGAGAGTGGGAGGAGAAAGCAGTCAGAATATGTGATATACACGGAATTGTCAACTTTCACATACATGAAATTGTCGAATCGCAAAATTAATGAGTAAAAATGACTTTAAATAGAATGCACGTGCCCTCCCTAACTTGTTAGTATATGGCCAATTTCCAACCTAAATAACGCTTCTTTTAAAAGTTGGCTGCTTCCTTTGAAAGGCCATCTGGGGAAGCCGGAATACGGATGAAAGAGTGGTTTATTGCAGAGGCAGACTGTGGTTCAAGGCCTCTTTGTCCAGGAACAGCAGGCCAGCCTCAGCCATCAAAGCCTATGACAGCCTTTCATCATAATATCAGCTGGTAGCAACAGCTCTTCTGCAGCCAGGAGCCAGTTCGATATCTAAAACCGGACAATCCTCCAGTCACTTTACAGGTATTAAAACCAGCACCAGAGTCATTGCTCAGCATGTGCTGTAAAGCAAATACAAACTCACGTGCCCCTGGGGCCGTAAGACCTCAGCCAGGGGAAGGTAACTGCAGCATCTGCAGTTGTAGCCATTGTAAGATCCCACGGTGATATGTGGAAGACAATACTTCCCACCATTGGCAAAGCCTTCATTTGATTCCTTAGCTTATTTCAGAGTCCCCTGACTTTCTCAGCTGCCACGTTTCTAGGAGACAGAAATTGAAATCAAAGAAGCTGCAAGGCAAGACAAGGGGGACAGGAGTATGACTGGACCAAAGAGCCCAAGTCCCACGGTTTTCTTTCAACAGAATAAGTGAACGTGAAGACACAGAAGGAAGCTTGGCCAAAGGATCAGTAAGACACCAGTCACAAAGGATCACCAACAGGCATGCCAGCCTGCTTAGTCTTGTCTTCTATTGGAAGGTGGGCCTGCTTGATGAAATTACAGGGCATTTGGGGGAGATCCTTCTAATTCTAAAGGAGATTGCAACCCATTGCAATGAAAACACTGTAAAAGATGGAAAACATCACTCCAACAAATGGTCTCAGCTAAAGGAGCCACAGAGCATTGGACTCCTCCCTCACTCAGTAGGAAGGGGTAGGATTACCCGATTCACTTGCTCAGAAGAAGTGGTACCATTGGGCAGAATGGATAAATACCTGTTACAGTCTGAACAAGAGTCGGGAGGAGTTAGCCCAGAGGACAGCAGGAGGAGAAGCTGGGAAGTTGGCACCCCTCCTCCCAGCTTGGGTGTTTGGAGGAAAATTGTCACCCTGGCTCACTCACTCCCTGCTGCATTCCTAGGAGGTGACTCAGCAGGCCTGAGGGGAAGCCAGGAATGACTCAGGACAGCAGGGAACTCTTCAGTGTGTCTCTCTCTCCACACTTTGGTGGACACACAGTTCTGAGAGGCACAGGGGATTCCTCAGGGGGTCAAATGAAGATCTTTGAGTCATGACCTGGGTGAGAGTTGGCACCTCCCTTTGCTGTTTGACCTGAGCTCCTGTAGGAATTGAATAATGGGACATCTCTCCTCACTGAGGCTGTATATAAAGTGTCTCTCTCTTTGTCCTTGCTTCTGATTGCATGTCGAACAGGGTAGCATAGTATTATGAAATAAAGAACTGCATCCCATCGTCCACCCCATTTCTCCTTGTTATGCCCCAGTCCTTACTCCCTTTGAAAGATGGAAACGTTAATAAACCATAGAGAGGACTCCTTTCATCAAACAGTTTCAAAACACTGCTGGATGAATGCCGTTACAGCCCATCTCCTATGTTTCTTTTTTTTTATAGCCACAAACCATTATCACTGACGTCCAAAATGTGTGTCTCTGCTTCACGCCCTGCACTCCGAAGACTGAATTATGGTCATTATGGATGCACTGCTACTCATTCCGTCACGTTCAAAATTTGACAATGCATGTGTAGCACATTCAGCAGAAGCAATGATAAATCCCGAAACAGTCGTTCTTCAAGAAAGATCCCTGAATTGATTGCAGACAGGAATAAGACAGAACAAAACCGGCCCTGAGTTCCTCTCTCTGGGAAGCTTGTTTTCACACACAGGTGAGATCCAAGCAACTCTCTGCATGGATGAGATGAAAAGAAAAGGCTGTGTTTTAATCTTCCTGTAAACAGACGCTAAAATGGATTTTGAAAGTTCAATACCCTTTGTGGTGATCCACATTGACTTGTGGCCTCGTTCAGTTCACTTCATTCTCAGCCCCATCTGCTAGGGGAAGAGAAAAGAATCTTGGTCTTTAACATGGTCAAATTAAACCCTGGGAACAGGAAACCATCTTTCTAAGGAAAGAGAAGGAACAGGGTTCCTATTCTTGCCTGGTTTGGATGAGTGAAACTGCATTAAATTATGAAGATAATTGATATTGGTATTGTGAAGTAATGGAAAATCTATGCTGTGCCTAGCACACAAAGCTATGCATCTGTTGCTTCTTTATATGGTCTGGGCTTTCAATTATATTAAAACTCATAGAAAAAACATGCCAATTTATACTCACAAACTTATGCAAACAATGACCAATTCAGCATCTGCCTATCTCTGAACACACACACACACACACACACACACACACACACATCTAAATAATGTACTATATCTATGACACATACACATGCTTAATACCAAAACCACATTGAAGTGTTCAAGCTTTTAGCTAATTTAGCCAAAAAGATGTTACCATATGAAAGGCAAATTTAGAATTTTAGAGGTGAATATTTTAATATTAAAAAAAATCAGCCAATAAGGGTTTTCTGTCTCATAACTCAGCAATGTTAAAAAGCAACATTATATTTAAAAGTATGGTCTCAAATGTGGGGTTATGGCTAGATTCAGAACTCATGCTTTCTTTGCCTTGGGAAGTTTCATATAATACACTCTCATTAGGTGCCAGTCTCCTTGGGGTCTGCTGGTCAGCCAACAAGTCCATCCTGTTTTCCTGTCCAAGTGCATTCTGTTTTCTAGTCCTGGCTTACTGCCCCAGCCTTGCCCCACTAACATCAACATCTAGCAGGAGAAAAACACAATCTCTTCCACCTGGGGTTTTTCCACTGTGCTATAAGCCTGTATATAAGGCTGTTCCCTCTCTACAATAGAGAAAGACCTCTTAGCATTTGCAGTAAAGACACACACACACACACACACACACACACACACACACACACAATCTTGCAATAAAGGCATGCACACGTATTCTCTTAGCACAAACGACCAGACGTCTTACCTTTTATTTCCCAATGCCTCAGATTTCTCGTTCAGCCTCTTACAGGTCAGACTTCCTTGGATCAAAGTTTTCACACATCACTGGGACAGTTGGGAAAATGTTAGTCATCTTTGAAATGAGAGACCTGAAGTCAATATGGTCAGACTAAATGACCACGGCCCTGCCAGGCTTCACATTTGCAAGCAGGTGCACTGAAGGTTGACATCACTTAGCAGAGAGTAATCTGTGCTGAAAGCTTGGATCCAAACAAGTGAAGGCTTGTCCCTTCTCCTTCGTCTCCATGGAGAAAATGGGGACTGCAGTAAATCTTAGCACTAGTTGAAAATGAAATACAAGGTTCAAGATAAATTGGCTCAACTTACAGTTCATAAAAATGATAATGTGTCAAAATACTCCATTTCCTAAGGAAATTCTAAATATGATATTGATAAACACCACCACATATTAATAAAACTCAAAATGTTTAAATGTAAAAAATTTTACAACTCTTTCTAAAACAAACTGTTTGGAATTACATATGCTTTAAAGCTACCCAAAATTTCATCCTGTAATTAAACTTTGTATTGTCTTGATAACACTGAAACTGACTTCCAAAGAACAAATAAATGGAGCTAGCTTTCAAATATTTGTCCTAAAAGCAGCCAGTTAAATAGATACTAAATGTCAGATCAGGTTCCACCTTTGTTTTAAAAGATGCATGGTGAATTTAAAGAGTCAGTTCTAAAAATTAAAACCTGAAACAAAACTGAGGCACAAATTGAATCTAGGTTAAAGCAGAGCAATATAAACTCGGGCACAGATCTGCTACTATTTGGATAATTGTCCCGCCCTCCCCCACCCCCTCCAGAATGCTTATGAGTCAAAGGTTTGGTCCCAGATCATGGCGGTGCTGGATGCTGATGGAGTTTTAAAGACTGGAGCCCAGTGAGAGGTCTGTAGCCATGTGAGGTGTGTCCTCAAAGAGATCTCGCCCCTCGTTTCTCCTTTGCTTTCTGCCATCAAGGAGAGTAGAGGGGCATGGCTTCACTCAGAGGGGGCGTGGCCTACGTTTTCCCAAGCACTCCCTCTGGGACCTGTTGCCTCCTTACAAGCTTGAGAACGAATGAGATCACACCATCAGACTACAACTTCCAAAACCATAAGCTCAAATAAACCTTTCCCCTTGACGCCTTATCTCAGAAGTGTGCTGAAGTAATGCAAAGCTGATTAACACAAAAGCCACAATTATTAGATTCATCTTCTCTAGGTAAAGGAAGAATTAAACTATGTATAGAACAGCCATTTCCTCCAGGCTTGCGTGACCACAGCCGTTATGAAGCAAAATTTCCTGATCCACCACAGACCCACAGTCACCAAGAAGTAAGACCGGTCTAAGGCAATGATAACGAGGACATTTGCATTCTTTCCAGGAGGTTGGCATGGGGGGTTCACCCACCAGCACTTGAGACTCCAGTCACCACATTCATCCGGCTTTAGCTGCATGCGACCCGGAAGGAGCTAGAGTTTACAGTAATCGGTGGAAGGTTAAGTGGTTGTGGGATTTTTGGGTTGCCGTGACTTCTCATAATAAATGCAGAGGACTCTTTAGTGACGCAACTCTCCCTGAGTCACCCACACTCCAGTGGAACTGGAGGAGGAGCTGCCTGGGTGTCACCCGTGCTCCCATAAGTAACCCCAATAAACACTCATTGGTTCACCAAGCTGGAATTTGACAGAATCCCTTTATTTATCTGCTGGTGCCCTCTTCATCTGGGGGTGAATAGAGGGTTCCTTACATGGCTCCAAGAAGAAAGGTTATACAACATAAAGGAAGTCATTTAAATTTATGATTAGCTCTCTGCTAGGCATTAAGCATTATAATTTACTAGCAGAATGTAAATTAATCCTCAAATAACTGCTGCATAATATATGCCATTCTTTTTTTTAATTCTTCTTCTTCTCATGAAGAAATAGTCCCAGTGTGGTAGAAGAATCAGGATATAGAGACATCAAAATTAACATTTGGAAAAAAAATTAGTTGGAAAACAGAGGAGAAAGCAAAATTAAGAAACATGAAATCCTTCCCTGACACAACCAAGCCAGAATGCTGGATAAAAAGCTCAGGATGCAAAACTGTGGGAGACTTGTGTGTTGTGTAAATGACCTATGAAGGGTAAGGGTTATCAGCCACGTGACCAGTTGCTTCCGAGTTTATGCCCATTTTCCTCTCACAGGCCTGTCCCATGCCATATAAAGTAAGCTGCCCCTCTTTCTATTTCTAATGAGTGTCCCTGGAACACTTCTCCATCTTACGACACAAGAAACCCAGCGGATATATTCTGAAACTCAGATCCACACCTTTCATACCAGAGAGCTATGGAAACTCGCCCAAGTCCCCCTCCCCCCCATGGAACCAGGCCTGGGATTTGAAGACATTTATTCTGATTTAGAGGTATACCAACCTGCAGAATTGCCATAGCTGATTAAGTAGAAGCAGAGGGGCTGTGACATGCAGTGGCAGACTAGGCGACTGCACCGTGGTTAGCCCGTTCAGAGCGACCCTCTGAGACTGTCTTCTCCAGTCACCAACTTCGCTTCAGGGTTAAGCAGTAAATGACCCTTTATCGGTCCATTTGCAGATGATGTCTTGGGAGTCTGGAAGGAACTAAACATTGCAAGAGAAAGGATGAAGGCACCAAAGCTTCCAAACAACTCACAAATGAAAAAGTCTATAGAAGGAAATTGTGTAAATCATCCTGAAGACTGTGCTTTGAATAATATACGTCTGAAAGTTATTGACATTATAAAAGCTGATGTTTTTAAGATACACACAGACACACACACAGACACACAGGCATGCACATGCATACATGCACACACAAACCAAAAAACAAACCAAAGCAAATTAAAAGCTTTGAGTTTTACTGATAAAAGCTTGCCCAAACGAAGAAGTATTATGTGATTGAAATCTTAAAATGTGAATCAATTCCAGATACTTAATCCAGCCATGGCCTTCTCTTTTTTTCAATATCTCCCTTCGCTAGGTTCGGTTTCACTTGGTGCTTTGTGATTTGGGCAAATGACTGTTCCCTCTTTGGAGGGTTAGTTTCCCATTTCAAAGCAACGTGGGCAGCTGAGCTCAGCACTCTAAAAATGGTGATTCAGCCTTCCCTCATTTTGTCTGGAAGTTGAAACGTGTTTCAGAACTTTCCATTCCGCATTCTGTGAAAAGAGATATGGGTGGGGACAATCTCTTGAGAAACACATGCATACATGCACATGTATACGTGGAGTACCACAGTGTGAACAGAAAATTCAAACCTAACATTGCTCTGCTAATGCACTCACCAGAGGTAGAGGTACAAGACAGATAAGGAAGACCTGGTTCTCTGGAATGTTCTGTTAATCCCTCTTCCTTTCATCCCTACCAGTTCCCCTTCCAAGGCCAGAGAGCTGAGTGCCGTTGACATCCATACATCAGCTCCCAGCAGAGTGTCCTCAACTATCCCTCACCTCTGACACAGCTTTGACTGTTCTTTGATACATTGTGTCCCTAGACAGGGCATTGGTCAACTTGACTACAGAAAGCCAGATAAGACACAATGACTTCTCCAAAGGCATCATTATTTTATTGAAGTAAGACATACTGGTTGGGAAAATATTGAACACCCAGGACTCTGGCGTTCTGATTGCCAATGTCTCCTGCTCCCCAACTTCAACCACAGTTAAGTAAACAAAACGACTCCCTCTGTATTTCCAGAAACCCGAGCCACAGAATCGTAAGAAAAGAAAGTTTCTCCAGGCCCTGTAGTTAATACGCTGGCCCATCTTCATGTCATATACACAGAGGACACTTGTTTACTGGACGTAACTTTTTCCATAGATCCCCCCTCCCACCCCATCGTATGTGGAAATCGAATTCCCGGTGTTGATCATGCTAGACAAGTACTCTAGCTCTATAAACAGTCCTCCCTCTCCCTTTTTTCTTTTCTGAAGCACGCTCTCATTAAGTTGTCCAGGCTCACCTTGAACTTGAATTCATCTCCCTTAACCCCCTGCGCAGCTGGGATATCAGGCATGGAAGCACACCCAGCTACGAGTGCAGTTTTGGATAAAAATAATGGTCTCCCGCCCAATGCGTGCAAGGCAAGAAGCAAGCTCTGC